AAACTCTGTGAGGCTGGTCGGGGTGATAGCCACAGTGGGTGACACACGGCTTCAGCCTGATGAGCACTCAGAACTGCCCCTCAGATCTCCCAGCTCACCTGCTACCGAAGTCCATGCTAGGACAAGGTTCAGATCTGTTGTTCACAGGGTTGCTATGGGTCATACTCGACTTGATAGCACCCTACAACAGCAACAATGAGGAAAGGTGTACTTCCAGAAGTGATAAAGTTACAGGCAGGAAAGCACGCTGTGTGTGGCTCACACCTTTACAAGGAACGAGGACATGGTTTCATTATGAATCATGCTCCGCCCACACTCCTGAACCTATTTCCATCAATCACTGGGCTCAATATTCATTGTTGACTCACAGACTTTACTCACAGTTGTGGTACCAAGAACAGGGTTTATTAGGGAAGTAAGTTGGAGAGTAAAGGAGGCAAAGAATATCACCCAATGCAAGTATGAGGTGTAGCTCAGCAGTCTTAACCAGATTAATAGCAAAACACAAATCCTCAGTTAGTAAAAGTCCTAGTTTCAGTTCTGCAACACAAAAGAACACGGAAGGACTAGGAGAGGTGGCTTCCAACTCTGCAGCTATGGTCCCAAACAGAAAAACATTATCTACTTATAGCAACTCTAAACTTGGCTTCCAAATCTCTGACTTTTAAAGGAGGCCATGGCTCATCTTTCTCCCTCAGAGCGGCTAGTGGATTTGAACTGCGTGCTGACTTTTCAATTAGCAGCAGCAAAAGGAGTCAATTCACATGAGGGTGGCCGACTCTGACTTCTGCCCATTCCACAAAGAGGAACTGTCTCCATCAGTAATATTAATAACAACAGGTAGCTGCTAGGTCCTACGTGACACCACCCATGCTCCTGCATCTATTTCCTCCAATCACTGTGCTCAGTATTCATTGCTGACTCTCAGACATTCCTTACAGTTGTGGTACCAAGTGTGGAGTTTATTAGGGAATTAAGTTGGAGAGTAGGGGAGTGGGGAGGCAAAGAATATCACCTAGTGCAAGTACAGGGTTCAGTCCAGCGGTCTCAAGCCAGATTAACAGCAAAGCACAATTCCTTGGTTAGTAAAAGTCCTGGTTTCAGTTTAGCAATATAAATTCAAGAAGCTTCTGGTTTCCTCCATCATCCAGCAAAGTTTGTCTCAGAGCTGGGTCTTAGAGTTGGGGTGACCCAGTCAGACGAGCTGTCTTTGGGCATCCTTCTGAACCTCGTGTCTTGGAGAACTGGCTCCTGGGATCAAGAATGCTAGAGATAAACTAGTAAAACCATTCTGCTTTCAGGCATTGTGCTCCTTGGATGAATTCAGTCAGTCTCAGAAAACAACCTCCTGGGTTCAGACTGGGAGCTATGTTTAGGGTAAACTGTATGTTATTCTAATTGCACTTCAAGACAATGCTGTATGTGTCTGTGCTGTGGCATTCAACAAGTGGAGAGAAGAGGGTTTAATAGCAAAATCTGCTCAATGTGACCATCAAAATTCTCCTGATACTGCCTTTTTATCCTTATATCTAGTCATCAGTGTAGAAAATTAAAACAAAATAAAAAATACACCAAACCATAACTCTCAAACAATCCAAACTCACTGCCATTGAGTTAGAACTCATCGCTGTCCCCCTCGTGGGTTTTCTGAGGCTGTACTGCACAGGAGAAGACGGCCTGCCTTCCTCCTTCTGAGCTGCTGGTTGGTCTGAACCACCAGAAGTGACCTCTTCGGTTAGCAGAGCAATTCCCTTCCCTACAGACTACGCGGCCAGAGCATTATCAGAGCAGCACCAGTCTGCAATCTAGGTGATGGGTTTTCCATTCCGGCTGAATCTACTGAAGACATTTTAAAACAATGATTCCTGAGCCTCTGTCTGGATCCAAAAATTCAGAGTAGGACATGTTGAGTAGGACATGGCATTGATAGTTATAAAACATCCTGGGTAGAAAAGGCCAGGACTGGGAATCACTAATCCAGGATCAGAAGAAAAAGGAATTGAACGATCAAATAGCTACGGGCTTCTGGATACTGGTTATCTAGAGGATCCAACAGTGCTGATACTCCTCTCACGTGCTCCATCCCATATGCTCTGGGTAAAACAAGAACTTATCAATCATTTCACACTTTGGTCATAGCCATTATGTTGTTAGGAGAGGCATATGAAGTTGAAGAGGTAGGAAGTTCTGGGTAAACACCTGAGTTTCCTTATATCTTGACTGTAACAACACTGAAGCTGACTTTAAACCTGAATTTGGAAAAGCTTTGTAACAGGTTGTTGTGTGCTGCTGTGTGGGAGCTGACTCAGAGCAGACCCTCCAGTGGGCTTTCAGAGGCTACAAATCGCACAAGATGGAAATGGCCATCTTTCTCCCACGGAGCAATTAATTGGTTGATTTGAAGTGTCAGTCTTCAGGGTTGGCAGCACAGCTACTTACAAAGAAAATAAATATTTTAGGGTTTGTAACTTTTTAATCCTGCTTTTGGTGCCAAAGTCACCACAAACAACACATAAAAGGTTGTACATAGCTGTGTGCCAATAAACCTTTATTTACAAAACAGGGAGCAGTAGACCATAGCTTGCAGATACCAGTTCTAAGTCTAAAAATGGGACTCCTAGACAGAATACATCAGCATGAACGAGTCTCAGCTTCCTGTAGCTTGATAACACACTCTTCTCAAGTTTCTCGCCCTTTCCGGGATTATGGGCTCTGGAAATGGCTTATATACAAGTCCTTGTCTCAGAGCCAGTTTTAGGGACAAACTACATTAATACCTTGTTGTATTCCCATCCCTACCATGTCAGGGCCTGATCCAAACAATGTGTTGTATTTTCAATTGTTTCTGTGCATTTGAAAGTTGAACAATGAGTAAGGAAAACAGAAGAAGAATCATGCTTTTGAGTTGTGATGTCAGCAAAGAGCACCTCACATCTGAAGGCCTGCCAAGAGAACAGATATGGAGGAAGTGCAACCAGGATGCTCCCTGGAAGCAAGGATGGTGAAACTTCACCTCACATTCTCTCAGCACGTTGTAAGGAAGGGCCCATCCTCTGAAAAAACGTATCATGTTGGGAAAAGGTCAGAGTATTAGAAAGAGTAAGATCTTTGATAAGATAGACTGACCAGTGATGTAACAATGGGTTAGAGCGCGGATAGTGGCGATGACACAGCACAGGGCAGGGTTTCAATCTGACGTGGAGAGGCTGGTGGGTTAGGAGCTCAGTAGACACACACACACACACACACACACACACACACACACACACACACTCTCTCTGTAAAATTGTGTTGTGTGGAAGTGGGAAATCTAGTGACCAAGTGTTAAGAACTTGCATTGCTAACTCCAAGGCACAAAGTTCAACTCTACCAGTTTTTGCCACAAAGAAACAACAGCAATTTCCTCCCATTCGATTTACAGCCTCTGAAATCTTTTTGAGGTTCAACTATGAGTCAGTTCTGACTTAATGGTATGTAACAGCAACAACAGAAGTAAAGTACCTACCACATATAGAAAATCATAAAGCAAAATTCAGACTATTTGTGTACATATGAAGGATTTAATCTTACTTGGATCTGTAAGCAACATCTATGGAAGCAGTGGTCAGAAATCAAAAGACGCCTTCTATTGCACTGAGCAAACCTGCTGCAAAAGACCTCTTTAACGTGTTAAAAAGCAAAGGTGTCACTTTAAGAACTAAAGTGTGCCAAACCCAAGCCAAGGTCTTTTGAATTACCTGGTACGCATGTACATAGGACAGTAAGAAAGACCAAAAAAAATAGGTGATACACTTGGATTATATTGCTAATGAGGAATATTGAGTATATTATGGAATGCCAGAGACTCAACATATCTATCTTGAAAGAAATACAGTTAGAATGCTCCATAGGAGGAGGAGGGGGGAAAGGGAAGGGAGAAAAATCATCAGGTGGTGTGTGGAGGGGGGTGGTGAAGGATCGGGAAATGTTCAATGGGGATCTGAAAAGAGGGGATGATGAGAGGCAGAGAGAAATGGTAATTGGCTGTACAGGACATAAAATGACTTACTGCATAAAACACAAGGTACCCCACATATATGAATAACTGTAGAAAACGTAGAGTACACGTAAAAACACAATGTATGTATATGAATGATTATATGCAAACCAATTAAAAGAAACCTAAAGAGAAAAAAAAGGAGATGTTCCATAGGAGCAAGGTTGAGTCTCATATTATAGAGGTTAATGGACAAAACATTTGATTGTGCTTATGTGAAATCTATACTTGGACCAGACCATGGCCCTTCTATATCCCTTAAGCCCTGACCTTTCTCTAGGGCTCCGCTTTCAGCCAAACAACAGACAGGCCAAAAAGGTGAGCAACAGTACCCGAGAGACCCCCCCACTCCTCAGAACAACCAGCTGTACAAGATCAAGAGGACACCATTAGCCCACAGATAAAGCTCAGATGGCTGGAAGGAGAGGAAAAGAAAAGGTAAACATCAAGTAGGGTGTTGTCACATTGTGCAGATTACCATCAACATCACAAATGAACATCTTATCAACCGCTGAGTGGGAAGTCAGCTGCTCTGTAAATTCTCATCCAAATCATGACAAAAAGCTAAAAACACAAACAACACCACAAATCTCCAAAACAATGAGCTCACAAATAGCAATGATATGAGAATAGCATAGGACCAGACAGATTTCATTCTGCTTCATGTAAGATCACTACAAATTGGGACCTAACTGGACATCACCTAGCAACAATAAATCAATCAGTCTCTCTCTCCGTCTCTCTCTGTGTCTGTCTCTCTCTCTCTCTCTCTCACACACACACACGTTAAGTGCTCTTTGTTCTAGCTCAAATATTAATTCAAATGTGTCGTAAGTTGGGCCGACCCAGAACTTCATAAAATCCCCATAAAGACACTTAGGAAACTCCTCCTATGGGTTGCAAGGCACATTCTGATAACCCAGGACGAGCACATTTAGAAAGTGAAGTGGAGTTGGGAGCTTACGCGGTCTTGCCCTCGCTGTCCTGCTTGGTGGCGCTGGCCCCCTTCTTGCCCAGCAGCGAGGCCACCTTCTCCGCGTCCCCATTCTCCACGGCCTGCAGCAGCCGGTCATCATTCTTGTTCCACTCGTTGATCTAGGGAGGAATGGGCAGACACACAGTTCATGAACATCAGTGGTCCTCCAGCTCCCAGCCCTCTGCCACACAAAGAAAAACCTGCCCCTAAATGAGGCACTCCAAAATACCTTCCCCTTCACCATGGAGACACCCAAAAAGGCCGATTTCCCAAAAGGAAACATCCACAGTTCAATCAAACAGTGGCTGCTGCCGATCTGAGAGGAAGTGACTTCTCTCTCTACCCACTGAGGTTGGGAAGGCAGAAGGCCTTGAGGCCAGTTTACACATTAGCCTATTTTCCCAGCCCAATTGGACAGCCGGCTCCTCAGAACTCTGGCCTTCGACCTTGTCCACAGCTCACTCTGTCCACTGTGCTCCAGAACCAAAGCGCCCACAGCTAAAGGTTACCGAGGTTTTACGTACCCTCCTTCTGCTCTCATGCTCAGTGCTTCCTGTCTGTTTCCCTGGCCCCGCTTTTTTGGACTGTATGCTGATTTTTGAAAGAGTCCTAGTGTGGCACAGTAGATTCAGCACTGGATAGCCAATGGAAAGGTTGACAGTTAGAATGTATCCACCTCTACCTAATGACTGCTCCACAGCAGAGGAGTAACCTGTTTCTGTGAAGGCTTCCAGCCTTGAAAACCCTATGGGGCAGCTCTACGCTGTCTACAAAGCGGATATGATTAGAATCTACTCATCAGAACTGTGCTTGAAGATTTTATGTGTTTATAGTGATTTGTTTGTTTATAGATTTTAAAGCAGTTGTCCTGAAAAAATGCTACAAATCACTGGCAATAAGAAAAATGTAAATGAGGTACCATCTGACTCCAGTAAGAGTGGCAAAATTTAATAGCGCAGCAAGTAATAGATGCTGGAGAGGATGTGGCAAGAAAGGAACTCATACATTGTTGGTGGGATTGCAAAAAGGTGCAACAATTCTGGAAGGCAGTTTGGCACTTTCTTTAAAAGCTGAACATAGATATTCCATATGACTCAGCTATACCACTACTTGGAATATACCCTGAGAATGTAAGAATTGAGGCACAAACTGAGATTTGTACAGCAATGTTCATAGCAGCATTATTCACCATTGCAAGAACATGGAAACAGCCCAAATGTCCAACCACAAATGAATGGATTGAGAAATTATGGTACATTAACACAATGGAATACTATGCAGCACGCAGGAGCAATAACTTTGTAAATTATAACCTAACTTGGGAGGAATTGGAGAGCATTATGCTGAGTGAACTAACAGTCCCACAAGGATAAATATTGAATAAGACAGTTATTGTAGAATGAGTATAAGGATCCAGGAGGGGTGGAAGAGGCTGGAAGCAAAAGGATGTGGATGTACAGGGGGAAGAGGGGATTAATCATTGGGTTGTATAATTTGTTGGGTGGGGGGTGAGGGAAATTGAAAGAATTTGTTTGACTTTGTATTAGAATTCTGTAAATAAACTAGTAAAAAAATAAGTGGTTAAATAAAGACTGATAGATTATTAAAAAAAGAAAGAAAGAAAAAGCAGTTGTCCATCAGGCTCCTAACTCAAAGCTTCTACCAGAAAGAAAACTTTGTCCTAAGCAGGCAATTAAATATCACCCAGCTCCGAACAGAGCCTCCATCACAGCCAAACTCAGCCCAGAAGAAGGAGTCTACAAAGCTCAGCAACAGTGAAGCTTTTGTGTGCACAGAGAAGCAAGGGGTCAGAATTCGACTCTTAAATTCTCCCGAGATGTTAAAAAACTCAAACTCATTGCCATCGAGTCAGAATCAACTCATAGCTGATCCTGCGGTGGGTTATGGGAGGTTGTAAATTGCATGAGAGGAGACTGCCCGTCTTTCTGAAGAGCCTCTTGGAGATTGTAATTGCCAGAGGAGCACCACCTTTGGATTAGCAGAGCAACTCCGTAGGGAGTACATCCCCAGAACTTTGCAAAGGTCTCAGTTAGGCCTCTGATTCAGGACTGCACTTTCTAAGCAATGGCTGACAGCAAGGAGGAGCTGGCCAACAGTAGGAGAGAGCTGATACTAACACAGTGCTCTCTGATCCAAGGGGAGGAGACATGTCCTTACAGTCGGCTCTGGTGTGTATAACGAGGTGTCCTCAGATGGTGTAACTGGTTCAGTGCTCGACTGGCCTAAAGGCTGGCAGTTTAAACCCACCAAAAGGCCCTCAAAAGATACACAGGTTGATCTGTTTCCGGAAGGCCCCAACCTTCAAAATCCCCATGGAGCCCTTCTAAAGGGGACACACACACACAACAGGCATTATAAGAAGGAAATAACAACAATGGCATGCACAAGTAGCCATGGCAGAAACTTTGAAAAGCACAGCTTCCCAAGTTCCACTCATTAGCCTTCTTCTTCCAAACCTGACCAGAGAGATTTTCTCTATTGCTTCCATATAATCCATCTACCTGGTGCTTACCTTATACTAAACATTTCACTGGCCAATCACAAGAGAATATAAATATATTTTTATCAAGATGGGCTGACACTGTGACAACACCAATGCCCTTAAGCATGAGGATGGAACAAGACAGGGCAGGGTTTGACCCTGGAGTACGTAAGGTCACTATGAGTTGGGGCCAGTCTAGTAGCCCCTAAGGTGTGTCGGAGTCAGTGAGACTGGCTCAGGACAGGGCAGGCTTCAGAGCTGTTGTACATAGGGGTCGCTCTGAGTCACAGGTGACTCGATGGCACTTAACAACAACAAAGACAACAACGTATTTATGCTTATTCATAACTTGTTCAAAGGTAGTTAGTGGTCAAGAGGATAGATGTTGTTTGTTGTGTTGTTATGTGCCGTCGAGTAGCCTGCGACTCATAGCGACCCTATGTACAACAGCCCTAAACTCCGCTCTGTCCTGTGCCAATCGCACTGTCTCTGACACTCCCATCCCAATTATCCCAGT